TGACACCATTTCACAAACTGCTGTTAAAATAAAACAAACCGAGATGCTGTTCGTAAGTTTAAAGCAGGACCAAATTCAGTATCACTTTGTTAATATTAAAACTTTCTCTCTTCCACAGGCAAGCAAAGAAATGAATTTTCAGTTTCAAGTGACATTCCCCCAACCAACAGACACACATCCTGTAGTACAGTGTATATTTGACAATGACCGCAGAGAGCTCAAGAAGTTACTGAGGGGCAATGACATTAATGGACTTTACCCTTCTAGAGAGTGGAAGGAATGCATAACGCCGTTGATTGCTGCTGTTGTAAAACACAACACAGATATATGTTCTTATCTTTTAAAACAAGGTGCAGATCCAAATATACCTTCTCAGTGTGGCTGGACACGTTTGCATTATGTCTCACTTTCCACAGCTCCACTTGTTTTTGTAGAGAAACTTCTAGAAGCAAAGGCTGATCCAAATAGATGCCATGCTTTCACACCACTGCTTACTGCTGCCACCAATGACAGGGAAGATGTCGTAAACATGCTCCTCTCTGCTGGTGCATTGGTAGCACTCTTACCTATAACTTATCCTGAGCATCCTGTTCAAAACAAAAAATTATCTGAGATGATTCATAAAATTGCATCCAAAGGAAATGAATTCTGCTCCAAAATCAGATATTTTTTTGGATGCTACAATTGCTATTTCTGAAAAAACACCTGAAGAAGTGTTTAGAACTTTTAACAGTCAGATGCAGTTGGAAGATCAGAACCATGTAACCATGATTGAACTTCTCTTTACTGTTACAGGGACAGGTGCAGATAAATACTGCCAGGCGTGTATTAAATGGCTAAAGGAAACTGGAAATGTGAATACTTATATTGCAGGTGCAGCCAGTCGCTTTTCAAACATCCCTAAGACACATGTAAAGATGGCAGTTGAAAGTTTAAATGCAGTTTTCTGTACAATGGATGACATAACAAATGAGCATGCACTAGCTGTAGTTCCACAACTACTGAAACAGCTTGACTCACAGGACAGTAGTGTTTGTGAATCAGTGCTACAAACACTGTATGTGGTAACACAGAAAACAAAAGGCACAAAGGACTGGGACTTAGACTTTTTTGAGAAGTTATGCAGAACAGTTGCCCATTTTTGTAAATGAGAAGCTCCCGACTAACATTAGGGTCTATACATACGGTATATTGGCAAACCTACGGTTAATCGAACAGGCAGCTAACATTTTTACTTCAGTGGGTGTAACTTCAGTGCCCGAGGACATACTGGCATCAGCGGATATGAAAATGAATGACAAGCTGAAAGAGGTGCTGAGAAGTCTTAAAAGTTACCTGAGTAAACCAAACTCTGAATGTGAGGGAAATGCAGCATCGTCTGTATCCAAGAAGAAAAAGAAGAAAAAGAAGAAGGAAAAGAAGGAAAAGACAGAAAAGCAAGAAGATCTAAATGATGAAGTTTCCACTGCAACAACTGATCCAACAACAAAAGTTCCTGTTTTAGAATCAACTTCAAATGTAAAGCCTTTTGACAACAGCGTCATTGAAAAAGCAGAAAAACAAAAATGGCTTCCAATCAGCGAGAGGTGGAAGGAGAAACTGGAGAAACTTGTTGGCTCAGATGACAGTAAAATATCCAGAATCAGAAGCATTATTTATGTGAAAGATGCAGAATTCAGAATAGCGAAGGGAAGCGATGGTACTGAAGTCTTCTTGGGGCTGAGAGAGGACGGCACAGAAGTTGCCATTAAGAGAATGTCTAAAAGCAACTATGACGAGCTGAAGAACGAAGAAGTAATTCTACGACATCCAGAACTCGATCATCCTTATATCGTACGATATGTTGATGCTGCAGAGGATGAGAACTTTGGATATCTTTGTCTGCAACTTTGTGAATACACCTTGGAAGAATATATCAAGAATGATCACCATGACTCACTGATGTTAAAGAAACTTGTCAAACAAATTCTTGAAAGTCTAAAGGTGCTTCACTGTGGAAATCCTAAAATTCTCCACCGAGATCTCAAACCCCAGAACGTTCTGATTGGTAAGACATGTTTGAAATTCAGGGGAAAACTAAACAAAACAGATGTCTGGTAAATATGTGATTTAGTTTCATAAGTTTTCAATTCATTGTTATTTATATAGTGCCAAATCACAACAAAATTTTTGAATATCATTCCTCCTGCAGATGTTACTGGGAGGGCAAGATTAGCTGATTTTGGCATAAGCAGACGCTTACTCAAAGGCCAAACAACTTTACGTACACGCAGTGCAGGAACCGAATGCTGGATGGCCCGAGAGACTTTAGCAGAAGAATCTGTGATATCATACAAGTCAAGCACAGACATCCAGGTAAAGCCTGCTATATAAACTTGATTAACTAAAGGATGCCTTGTTAAAAAATACCTAAACTGATGTGTTAATGTTAAGGTGGCCGGGATGCTGATCTATTATATCCTTTCTGGAGGCCACCATCCATTTGGTGACTTGGACTTTAAATCCTTTAAATGTGAGTCAAACATTTATGATGGGAAGTACAGTTTGGATCACATTCAAGATGTGGTGGCAAAAGATCTCATCGAGTGGATGATCAACAAAGAGCCAAAGGACAGACCCAAAGTAGAAGAATGCTTAAACCATCCCTTCTTCTGGACTTCTGAAAAGTGAGGGAATTATTGACAATTAATAAAAAACATTTTTTTTTATGATTCTTGGTTTCTGCCTGTCAAAGAGGGATACAGATGTTCATGTTAGAACAAACTGATCATCCCGGATCAACCTAGTTAAGCATTAATGCTACAATGTTCTGCTAATTCTAAATCCTTTTATTACATACTTCTCCTGCTTTTTTGTATTTATTTATTATTTTTTATATTCATTTTTAATAATGTCCTTTCCAGGAAAACTGAATACTTGAAAAAGATTGGTAACAGAGACGATGTCGCAAACTATAGAAAGGCTGAACAGGAGCTGATTGATTCTCTAGAAAAATGTGCTGTGGACGGATCCTTTAAGCAGTGGAAGAATAAGGTGACTGTAACATCAAATATCAAATGTCTATATTCCTAAAATCCGCTTCATAACCAATGTTTTTGTTG